CGGCGCGAGCTCCGGGCGCGCGCCTCAGCCCCGCCCTCCGTGAGCGCGAGAGCATCGGGATCCCTGGGGGGTGGGGGCGGCAATTCCCGCTGCCCCGGCCGCAATTCCCGCTGCCCCGGCCGCAATTCCCGCTGCCCCGGCGTTTAACGCGTTAGTTCTGTGGCTCAGGAAGAAGCCCAAGCGCCGGGAGTTGCGCCTCAGACCCGCCCGGACGCACAAGAGGCCGGGAGACAAAACATCTCACACAGAGCTAAAGCCTCGCGGTAAAGACACGAGTTTAAAAAAAAAATCATATAAGGAAATAAGTATTTAAACATGTGTATTACTGCACCCACTGCGCCGGCAGCTGCCTGGGAATGGGATCAAGGACCGAACGGCTCCTGCAGTTCCAGGCGCGCAACAGACCCTGACATGCAGGTACCGACCGAGGCTCCAGGTACCAGGCGAGAGCTGCAGGTGTTGGAGGTCTTTATTGAAATTATAGCACAGACACACTTCTATAGTTACCTTTCCACTTTTGTACGATAGTTAAAACTGCTTGCTACAGTGCACATATAATTTAGTAACCAAGAGAATCCAAAACTTAACTGCAGTTCAAATAAATAAATAACCTAATGCTTAAGGTTTATATTTTTAAAAGTAAAAGGAACTGTACAATATGAAAATATAACAATACATAAACATTAGAATCTAAAGTTTTGTAGAAATAAAACTGAAATTTCCCATACATAAACAGTGCAAGAAATAAAATTCAGATAAGCTTCTGAACTGGGAATTTAAACAATTTAATTCTGAAATCATCATGCAGACATAGCATTTTAAGCCATGCTGGTTTCTTTTATAGCATTAATGGTATCCCTTTGACTTGAAAAACTGATAGCCATTAAGCTCACTGTGACAACTGCTGCCAATCCACTCTTTTCTACAGTACATTATACAGAGGTATTCTGTTGCACTCAAAAAGTAAAATACTGTATGTTTCTACAGCAAAAAAAACCCAAAACAAATAACTCAAACAATATTTTGTTTTTTTCCCCTCCAACATGTGAGCTAGTCCCAAACAATGTCATGTAGTAAAAGTGGCAACACTTCCCTCAGTTTAGATGTAAATAAAGAAAAAATACCACACTATATAATGGACCATAATCAAGATGTGGTTACTGCCTAGTCACCTTTCACGTTTAGGATTTTATACTAAAAAAGTTGAACTTTCAGAGATGTTAAAGTTTGAAGTCTTGTTGAGAAGTGATTAATATAACAAATCTGGAAAAACAGTGGAATTTATCTTTTATGTGCATGTAGAACTAGTTACATACAGACTTGAATAAAGTGTTGTTCAACTTAAGTTTCTATATAAAATTCTTCTTGAGGCAAAGATCAAGGAATGCAATAAATACCAAACTGTAAACACATCATTCTTGTTACTTTGAGTGCACATCGACAATGTAAGAGTTCTCCTCAGACTTTGGCAACAAGACTACAATAGGTCACAGCAGCATGAGTTCACATGGAAGACTGAAAGCACTGCAAAAGAATATACTAAAAACACCAAGACCTCCTAGAAACCAGAAAAATCTGTGACAAGTGCCCCTCCTCTTGATACAACACTCTCCCACTCAACTGCTGCTCCCACAATGCCTACTTATTATTACTTTGTTTTTACAGTTCTGTAGTCTCAGGTCTCTGTGCTTTAGCTGCATAGGTTGCCTTTGTTTGTACTCTAGCCATTGTAGGTCCAAAGGGTGACAGTTCTGTCTGCAGAAGATGACAAGAAGGAAAGATCTTGTGTATGCCACCTGCATTGAATAACTTTGTCCTTGTGCTCTCCTACCACCATAAGAGGAAGCTGCTTCGTGAGGTCCCCTATGGTAGAGGAACAAAGACAGACTGTTAGTAATTTTGTGAATTTTTACCCCAGCTCTTTGTTTTTTGGGGTGGTGTTTGTTGTTGTTTTTTTTTTTCCTCTCTTTTTTAGTACAGCTTACGTATGTTTTTCACCTTAAGAAACATACTTGACACCTCCCATGACCACCACTCCTACCCCATCACACACATGGAGAATAACACAAGGCCCAAGTGCTTTGGCTTTTAAGCATTACTGAACACAGCATAACTTTAAAATATTCAGTTCTTACACAATGTGATTAACATGTAATGGTGCAAGAAAATGTCAATTAGATACACTTGGTATCTTTTGTCTTCTTAGCTCTTCCCAATAAAAGTAAGTAGCATGATTATTATATTTCTGTTTTTTCAAAGGGTCACTTTTATGAATGCTGCCTGGAAGCAATAGCCATCTCATCAGGCTATAGTTCTTTTATCATAATCAGACCAACCCCTAGAAAGACTTAGTTCACAACCTACATTCTTAACAACACAACTGAGTAATTGTGAACAGAAACAATGAAATGTATATACATCTCAAGCCCTTCAAAGCTCCACCATTTTTCCCCCAAAACCTCATCTTTTAGCCAAGTTGTTCTCTTACAAATTTAAAATTAAAAGCACCAAATTGAAAATTAACTGAGTATCCTTTGCAATATGTTACCTTGCAAGTCTGTCACCTTTATTTTCATATCATATGATCCTGTCAGCAAGTAGTGTGCCCCTGGGGAGAAGCGGACAGAGCGCACATCACTGGAATGGGGATGGTAACTCTGCACCATTCGTCCTCCTCGAATATCATACAACATGCAGCTGGAGTCCTCTTGTCCTGTGGCCAGGAGACGACCACTAGGATCAACAGCTACTGAGGCTACAGCACTTCCTATAGGAGAAAACAGACCCCAACAAGCACACATTATATTTATTTACATTTGTGCAAATAGCCAAGTTGTTTTTTTTTTTAAAAACAGACTATACATTGTGTAAGAATACTGAATGCTGGCCTTAAAATTAAGGTGAACGTACCTAGCAGCTTGTATCTTAAAATAAGAAAATCTGTATGGCCTAGCACTTACAATTCTGAAGCTGTAAGTCAGACTGGGATGGCAGCAAAGCCACTATTAAAGCTGCATGAGAAAACTTATGGGCTTCATCACAGGAAATAAAGTCACTGTTTATGAAATGCAAGGAATTACCCCACTCCTCATTCTAATTTATTCCCTCAAAAAAAGTTTTCAAGAAACAAATCAACCCAAGTGGTCGTTAAGAATCCCTTGGCAGATTTCCACAGAGTATGTTGGTGACTTGCAAAAATGGCTGCTCCTTCCCATCCCTTCCTTTGATTCTGAAAGTTATTGTGTCGTGTTATATTTTAATGTGCTTGGAAGAGTTAGTTTGAAAATCACAAGGCAAAGAACCAGCCAACTTTTGAAGTAAATGTTACTTTTAAAAATAAAACCAAAAAACACAACATAGAGGTCAAGATATCCTCACAACTTCTTCTAAAGCCAAGCCTCCATTCTGTGACACAAAACCCCCCTTGCATTCAGCTCTAAACTAGACATATTTAAAATACAATATGACACAACAATGTTTAGAAGCAGAGGAGCAAGCCTTACCTGTTCCATGAAACGTTGTTCCCACAACACGAACACAGCTTGGCACTCTCAGATCCCAGAATCTTACAGTCTTGTCTTGGGATCCAGATGCAATCATCCAGCCACTCCATGTGTAAAGTGCTAAAATATGACCTGTGAACAAGACAGCTCATTTAATTAAACATTATTAATCAAATAATGACATATTACTGTTCTGATTAGATTTCTGCATTCAGAGATTTAGCAGTCCTATGGAAACCTGCATGTTGCATGATCTAAAACAGCAAAAGTGCAACCAGCTTTGCATCTCCTCTGGAATGAAGTTATCCACTCCCTCCATGTTATAAATAGCCAGTGTATTTAAAAACAAACACCTCCCATGCAAATACCTCAAGAGCAATATGGAGATGAAAAAGTCTGACTAGAAATAAAATCACAACAATATTAAGAAAAGCAAACAAGCCACCAACTTCAAGAATGAGAGAGAGAAGCAACAATGTACCCACCAGTGTGACCACTCAGAGCATGCAGGCCTTGTCCTCGCTGACAATCTGTTGTATAAATATTGCAGTCCCCTGCTCCAGCACTTATTAATATAGCACCACCACTTTCAGGGCCTTCCATAAAAGCAAGGTCTCTGATTGTCCCATCATGCATGCTGAACTCCAAATCTGGTCCTAAAATAAGTATAAAACCAAAAAAACCTTCATTTATCACTGTTAGCCCTGCAATCTTTAAAAGCAGCTACAGTGGTAACACAGAATATTCTAGGCCACTATAAACATTGTTTTGCACTTTCCATGGAGCCCACTGTTGCAGTTACTAAGAGTTCAAATAAAATCAGTAATAATCTTATTGAATGTTGCTTAAGCTTCATACAGCTCCCCAAGTTAGCAACAAGCACATGGACCATCTCCATGACTAATTCCAGCCAATGATTATGGAGTACATTCACTTCTTTTTGTAAACTACAGTAAAACTAAGAAGGCTTTCTCTACCAGGAGGGAGGGATCATTGATAACACTGACCAGGAAAAGGTAGCCTAAGTTCAAAATAGAAAATGTAAGAGCCATGCTCAATGTATTGATCAGGAAGGTTGGGCATGGAACATAGTATTGCTGGGAGGAAAGTCTTAACTAGTAAGATGAGGGAGAAGTTGACATAATTAGGCAAGAAGAGGGGGAACTGGAAGTGGAAATACATTCCTACTGACTGTCAAGAACTGGAGTTGGGTAAGAATATCTGCCTGTTTTACCATACTGAAAAACCTCTACCAGAAGACAGCACAACACCAGAGAGCCTTGCAAAATAAAACCAAAAAGCAAACAAACAAAAAACTCAAAGCAAGCAAAACCCAAAAGAAAATCCCTAACCAGTGGCTCTTCTGCTGGACAGAGACTACAAAGGAGACTAAGATAATACATGTGTACGGATAAAAATAACAAAGCCTATTATCCAAACCCAACATATTTGAATGGCTTCGACAAATATGGGACAAATAATTTAAATTAATGTCATTTTCATAATTGAAAATAAAATTAATGAAATACAGACACACTACCTGTTGCATTACAAGTTTCTGCATTAAAAGGCAGTACTTTCACATATTTATCATTAGAACCAGTAGCTAACAGCTGTCCACAGGGACTCCAGGCTACACAGTAGATTGATCCTTTATGATGCTTGTTCCTTTTGAAGCGAACTACAGGTTGCTTAGGAGTATTATAAGCACTGGTGAAAAAAAACAAAAGGAAAAAGAAAAATATTCATTTTACTTTTTTTTAAAACAAGGAAACAATGAATCCTAAAAGGAAAATATTTTTTCTATTGTTTTAGGTAACATGAAATAGGTATGACTGTTTGTATTGACTGTTTACATGTGATCTAAGAAAAAAGCATCTTCTCCCTCCCATTTTCTCAGTTTTTTCCTCATCTTTCCACTGTGTTTGTGATCAGACATGAAAAACAATTTATGCAGTCCCTTCATCTCTAAAGGCTTGATTCAGATAAAATACAGTAATTGCTAGCTACATAGAAAGAAACCTTACCCCCAGAGTCTTAAATTGGTTGGATTTTTCTTTATATTCTTCATACTTCAACATCCTGATCCTGTGGCCACTTTTGAACATGTTTGAGTTCAATTAAGCAACAGTAGACCAAGAAAGCTCACAAGGCACGCACCTTCACCATTAAGTGTTAATGCAGGCATCTTCACAGCATCTAGAGATACCATACATTCTCATTTTTCAAACCATCAGCTTTGCATGTGGCTGAACTAAAAGAAACATTCCCATTGATGTAAATTTCCTCTACTTCAACTTATTTATTTCCTACAAGGTTATTTCTCTGTTCTCAAAGCAGGGAGTAGTCAAGTGCTTAAGATCAAGCACTGCTGTATCCAACTCCATCAACATTCACTCCAGTAACAACAACAGAAATTCAACCACTTAGATTGCCATTGAAAAATTCAGAAACCATACTGCAAATACCTGAACAGAAGAGGCAGAGAGAAAAAGCAGAAGACTATCATCGGTTTATAAACTTTGGAGACAAACATGGCTTTAGTAAAAAATACTAAAATAAATCTACAGGGAAGCTAATTTTACTTTGTTGCCAGAGAGCAAATTCATGACATATTAGCCTAAATCAGAATCACTGTTCAACACACACTACAAAGCTTCTGAAATGGCCTAATGCCTTCATCCCACTCAGAGGCTGGAGTCACAATATCTGTTAAGAGAGGGAGGAAGCAGCTGAAAACCATTGACTTTGTCAGAAGATGGGAGCATTTGCCCAGCACAGAGAGCATATGCTCCCAGTCAGCAGTGTGGAAGAACTGTGCTTATTTGAGTTAACATCTGCAGAATTGTAATGTGCTTCTATCAGTCTTTAATTTCAAATGTGAAAAAAGCACACTACTATTATGCCTTCAGAAAAAAAGGAAAATAAACCTAATCAAATAAAATCAACCTGTCCTAAATCATACATCAGTTCAGGGACAATTTAAAAAACTTTATCAAGTCCACCCAAAATGCAGATGTACAGTTAGACAACTGCTATTTACCAGATAATCTACAGAACTGTAGATTTTTGAAAAACACACAGAAAATTTGTCTAGCCTCACGTTGTTACAAAGATTAGAGTATCTTTAAGATAATGTAATCTCGGCTGACTTGTAAATCCCATGATGACATGTTTTTGGCAGACTGTAAGCACAGTGAAAAAAACAGTAAGAGGAAGAAGTAAAAGCTTAGAAAAGCAGGAAATTTCAGTATTCCTTTTACATCCAGATGCACCATGTCACTTATCACATCTGATCATCCACTGTAACTAGAGTCTAAGGCTGCAGAATCCTCTAACCTTTCCCAGTGGTTAGAATAACAAGCTGTGTGAAAGCAGATCAGAGTTAGTTAAAAAGAAGCATTCGTTCATTGAAAATGTTTTGCACTGTTTACTGATAAAGAGGATGTTGCCTGGGCCTCAAGCCCTGCAAGTGAGCTTGTACTGGGTATCAGAAAAGTCAACTGTTTTTTTGTTTCATACATAGCCAATAAATATTTTGGAATTAAACTTCAAAGGCTACTGTACTGATGATATTTAAGGAGGAAAAGAAAAAACATCAGATACTTTTTGAACACTTTGGAAGCCTGAACATGAGTCCTAAACTGAGAAGTTGTCCCAGATACAGTCTCTGCCTACTTGTAGCTCCTTCTGAAATGGTCATGTTTTAGATGCCTGCACTTCCTCCCTCCTCTAAGAAAATAAATAACTGGAGCAGAGACAAGGAGATGGTTATTGAAAAGGCAATATTTACATCCAAGTGAAAAAAACATTTTTTCCGCTCTTATTAAAAAAAACGGAGTGAAAACAGAGAAGACTCACAATTAACCACAAATAGTACTTTTTCTGTCAAGGAACAGAGTGTTTATAGTAACAACAGGCCAATAGACTGTATATTTTGCTGTAAAAGTTGAAGAAGATACTGCTTTCTCTACTGTTAAGTCTGTCCTCTTGAGATAAAGTGCATCTCATGAAGCCAAATTTGTGCTGGCTTGGGAACTGACAGCTGTTTTGTCCTGCTCTTACAGCTGGAATACCAAAACCAGAAGCAGTCACAGTAAACACAGAACCCAACCCCACTGAGTCAAAAATTACACTTTTATAAGGAATCGTGTGGTATTGTGTCAACGCATCTTGCCACTAACAGAAGAGAGTAAAGAATTACCTCACAAATACACAAATTCTTTACCAGATGATCTCTTTTGTTTAGAAGTTCAGATGTCTAAGGAGAGCACTGCACTGTTTACAAAACAAAATTAAGGTATGCAATGTACAGATATCAGTAGCTACAGCAGAAAAAAGTACCATGATACAGAAAACAAAATTATTATACAAACTTCCATACCTTGGGTCAATTACTTCTGGATAGGCACACACTCTCAAAGTTTTAGAGTTGGAGCCAACAGCATATAAACTCCCACTGGGATGAAAGGCTACAGCTCTGACAGCTTGTGTGTCTTCCAGAGTATTAATGCAAATGAACTGCTTTTTTGATTTGTCATCCTGCACAGAGAGGTAACAGTCAAATTATGTTCTTCGGCATAAAACTGGACATATAGAAATGGATGTGACTGTTCTGCAGAATCATGTAAAACTACTGCATCAAAGTATTGATAAGTAGGTAGCATCAGATTTACAAATTAAAGATTTGTAAAACTTCTACTCCACGTCAAGGAATAGAATACTTCAAAAAGTTGAAGACAACTCACTTTAAGCTAACATTAGATTAACAGTTCTCCTTCTCCCTCCAGGATACCAACAGCTTCTGTTCTTCTGAACAGCTCATCTCAGAGTTATGATATTACAGTTTACTTGTTTGAAACTTGCAAGGGGAACAAAGCTGGATTTTTACAGAAAACAATCCAAGTCATAAACAAAGTTTATAAAACAAATTTAGTACTAAACATAAGCCTCAGCCTTCCAGCCTGTAGAGTCTGTAGATAACATGAACTTATCATTAAATTATGCCAAGGTTGTTTTTTTTTTAACTTCATCACCACCTTTCTAAAATTTTCATTTTTATTAGATGCATAAACTTTGCCATATAGTTATTGCAAAATTATTTTCCTAAACTCAGACCATAATGACTTGACTCTGACAATCAAAGTTTCAACCTGTAAAACACAAAACAATGTGTGTAAAAGGCATTCCATTGGAATCTCTGTTGCACAAGGAGAACCTGAGAGAGCTGAGACTGTTTGGCCTTGAAAACAGAAAGGTTTTTCAGGGTGTATGCATGGAAATCGCAGTGTATATAAATACCTCACAGGAGGAGTAAAACAAATGGAGCAAGACTGACAAATGGTGCCCAGTGAAATGCCAAGAGGCAATGGACACAGATTGAAACATAGGGAATTCCATTTAAACTTTGTTGTTGTTTTAAAAACACTAGGAGGGTGGTCAGACATGGGAACAGGTGGTCTACAGAGGTTGTGGAGCCTCCATTCTTGGAGATATTCAAAACTCAATTTGGCCCAGCACAACCTGCTCTCATTGACCTTCCTTTGAGCAGTGGATTTGGACTCAGTCTTGAGATGTCCCTTCCAAGCTCAGTGATTCTGTAGGTACTGCATCAATCAAAACTCATTGTATTAACAATAAGAGGATGTCACATACTCAGGATTAAATATTGAAACTTGTGAAAACACAACTTTTAAAGGACAATAAGGTAACTTACCTCATCGCCTCTTGTCCTACTTAAATTCCCTGAAGAGTCTTCCAGCTGTGCCTGAGTGACAGCATGTTCCGATGGACTATTTTGATTTGGGGAAGAGATCCAATTCATAACAAGACAGGAAAAAAAAACAAGAGCAGGGACACATTTGTTTCAGTCATTTTCAGAACAGACTAATTTGTGTGGACAAGTGTTACATGTGTCTGATTCTTTATCATTAAACTATTATTTGCACAAGGGTTTGCTGTTTTTGCAACAACTTCAACCACTGAACAAGTGAAGGCAAGTTAAAAATACTTGTTTTCATTCCAGAACACATATATGCAGACACACATATAGAAACCTGTGGAAAAAATGTTGTTGCTTTCAGGACCACACTACCTTTAGTTAACAAAGGAAATTCAGTTCCCACTCTGCCCTGCCCCTCTCTCCATCTAATTTGTATTTTACAATAAAAACTTTCAAAAACTTAACAGAACACAAAACAAACAAGAACTATACATTTAAGATGGAATTAAAAGGCTGAAATTAAAAATAAGAATAAATTGTAAACCATAACAAACAACCACTATTTCTCATGTATGCTGTCATAAAAAATAATTATTATAATTCGTATTAAAATATATACCAAACACTGATAATGAGCTAAATACCCCTGTTCAATGACAAATTAATTTGATAACTAAAAATAAATACAACCAGCCACTCCCACAATGCTAACAGAAGGGTATTTCCAGTTCTGAGCAGTCTCAAGTAACTTACGGCTGGTTCCCCTGTACAGGGGACTCTTCAGGAAAGGGTATCTGGTTAGCTGAGCCGCGCTTTCGAGGGGTGCTTGTATTAACATTTTGGCTTTCTGTTGCTGTCCTCTGACTAGCATCTGAAGGTGCCGATGCAAAGTTACTTGCTGGATTGGTAGATGCATTCCCTTTGTTCCCATTACATTGCTGGCTAAGTGTCTGTACATCATTTCCAAGACTGTCCATACCTATATTTAATTCTCCTAGTTTCTGGATAGACCTAGTAACAAATGATAAGAAAAAAAAAACAAACCACCAAACCATATTATTATGAGAACTTGAGGAGCAACAGGAGTGGGTAGAGGGAGAATCAACAAAATCCCCCAACCTGTTAAGAAACTGTTCAGTAAGATTCTGTTGCTGGTCAGCTCCATCTTCTTGGTTTACACCTCCTTCCAACAACATTTGCTGGTACAACTGTCGTTGTTGCTCCTTCTGTTCTAAGTGTTGCTGGTAACGTAGTCTTTGTCTGTAATATTCCTGAAATTGCTCTGTTGAATCACGAAGCTAAAAAGAAATGAGCATTACTGATGAAAATTAGATAGATAATTGTGGTATTTCACCTAAATATTAACTTTCTGGTTTCTCATTTCAATAAAGGCATCAAAGGCCAGCAGATTTTTGTTCGAGGAACAATGCTTTCATGCTTCCTCAAAACCAGATAAAATTTACATATTAATGAAGTAAATCACTGCCAGCTGGTGCTATTCACTGTTGAAGTACTTCTGCCATAATTCAGGAGACTCCTCTTTCCTACAAAATTTCCAAAGTATTAAGATCAAAACAAACAGGTGATTGGAAACTGAAAATAAATATCAGAAAACACTGTAAGGTACGTTCCAAATTCTAAACCATATTAGCACTATCAATTTAGTATTTTCTGTCATGTTGATGCCTCCTTGCCATCAGCCTGTAGAGCTGATTTACCACTCCCACAAGTCAACCTTGAAGGGGCATATCCAAGTGCTACATCTTACTTCTGAAATTGGTGCCTTGCTCTAACTTAAAAATTCCTTACTTTCTATACCCAACACAAATACTTGAGCTTCTTTTCTCAGTCTCTTCCCTTTTACATACTGTCTTCAGCTTCCCACAATGCAAGCTCCCCAGGACTCACTGCTTTCTGAATTCCCCAATCTTCATTTTCTCTCTCTGCTATTAGTTTATCATGCTAGCATGATAAAACAGTTGAGAACAAGTTAAAAATGGACAAACAAAAATACCCTATAGAAAACCAAAAGCACTTTAGTCCAAAGCCAAAATATAAACAGTAAAGTGCCATGCATTTTCTAAAGGAAAAAACACCTTAACTGCCTATTTAACAACTAGTAGGAAAAAAGTAGTAAAACAAAAAAAAAAACACACTGGTTTTTTTGTTTGTTTGTTCTTCAAAGTGACATCTTTGTCATCTAGTGATTTTACGTTGTATAAGGACATTCTCAGAAGTTTGTGCTAGTTCAGACAATTCATGCAGAGGGTCTTTCTTCCTAACTATGAGCCTTTGCATTTCTTATAAAGATATACTTGCATTATGATTTTGTCTTCTCTGACACAACAATTTTTTTGTTTATAACGTATTTCCTAGCACTGTTGCATTCCTAAAAAGTTTACCATCTTAGGTTTCCTGAGCCCTCATTTGCAAATTAGAAACTGAAGTTATCTTCTGAAGTCTAGAAAGCATTCAGTCTCTGTATTTCAAACACATTAACTATTCTCCAGCCACGAGGTTATAATCCTCCTACGCAACAGGTCCATTCTTATCCGTACTTTTTTCTGTGACTCATACGTGTTTGTTGTCATTGGATTAAACCCTTTGATCCTTTGGATTATGAGTTACTGTTACCCAGACAAACATCTAAAAAATGTTGCCCAGAGGCACTATTCAATGAACTCTGGCTTCTAGTTCAATCCCTCTAGAAGCAATGCAAAGATAAACATATGAAAAGAAACAAATTGTTTCTTACTTGCACAGGTATACGCTTACACCACTACAATGTCAAAAACAAAACAAGGTGAAATTGGACTGGGTACAACATTATTTGATACTTGTGCATAGTGGTCTGGCCCAAATCTTCACCTATACCCTGTCATCTCCTGTCTTCATACTCTCCTACAAATTCTGCATCTGATTTCTTGTCTTCTGAATGCTACTCCATTATACACCAAACAAAGCTCTTTCCTCCCTCTGCTTAATGCATATACAACACTGTTGCAGCAGAGAAATTACTCAGCAAAGTCCTTGAGTTTGGAGGACTTCTTTAATCCTCCAATAGGCCCCATTGCCTCATTCAAGTATCCAGAGTCTGCAAGCATATAGCCCTTGTCAAGACTAGACTGGTTTTCACTACCACATAGAGATGTCATTTAGTCAAGACAAAGTTCACATCAGAAAACCACACTGGAGTCTGCACACAAAACAGACTGCATACTCTGTGTTATTAATCCTTACTGCATCAAGAGAGATATTTAAAACTGGAAAAGGAATAGAATAGGTAACTGTTTTCATTGTTTCCTACTGAACTATTATTTAATTACCCCCATTTGCTGTCATGGAGAAAAAATAAAGAGGATAGTCAAAGACAAGCCTTCAAAGACGAATCCAAAAAAAAGGTTATGCTGTTGGATTCTGAATTGCAAAGACACAATTACTAGGGAGTTATCCAATTTGCATTTCTCTATGTTGTAGACAGAAAATTATGTAAAATGACCTACGGAAGTTGGTGTTAACACCATAAATTGCAGGTTATATGCCAGATTCCTCGCTAAAACACTAATAGGATTCTTAAGCATTGCTTATTCTAACAGTGCTGTCTTTGAGTACTGCAAAGTATTTAATTTTTTAAAAATTTTTTTTACAGGCATACACAACAGTTCAGCAACACTGCTGACACAATAAGGCACACTAATCAGCTGCATTAGACTCAAATGGCAGTGGAAGTTCATACAATGGCAAAAAGAGAGTAGCTTCTTTTCTTTTGCAAGATGCAATACTGTATTTTCCCTATAGTAAAAAGAAGATTCAAAGCAACCCATTGTCATGCATGAAGTTCTCAACACAGAGGCAAATCATTATAAAGTGATCAGAACACAACTCAAAGAGCCTCATTATTTTTAAACAAACAACCACTACCTCATTTTTCTCTTGTTTGGCTGATCCCTGACTCTGTGCTCCATTAAGTGGTTCATTTTCTGGAACTGAACTCTGGCACAAAGTCGCACTGCTGACAGGATGCTGTGGTTCCACAGGAGTATCACTTCTGGTAGCAACATGGAAAAGAAGAGGTGTTTAACTGAGAAAAATTATGAGTAGAAAAACCCCTGCTAGGCAGAGAAAAATAACATTCTAGAGTAAAATCTGATAACAAAAGTATGGAAACTACTTAAGTTATATAAAACTAAAGATACTGCTTCGGGAAAAATGCCACTTGCAGTGGGTTACACTAAACAAAACTCCTACCAAACAAAAAGCACAATCAGTATGCTTTGTTTCCACATTTTCCAAAAAGCCTTATCACCATGGGATACTCAAATTCCATGCCTTTCTATCCCTAGACATGAATTATATACCCTTTAACTAACAATTTTTTCAAGATCTCTTGTTTTCAAAGCAATTATGTGCATGGAGTGTACCAGATATACTATGTGACTAACGTCTTCTGTAAGGTATTATTTTAATTACCACTACCAATCTAAATTTAAACTACGTTCAGCATCCATCAGCTGAACATTCCTGAAAGTGCTACACAAGAAAACATTTATATCAGCTTTGCTATTCTTGTATTATATAAGTAATTCTGCACTGAACTCTTTCCAAAATGCTTTAGCAATCCGTAAGCATGCAGAACACGTTAAAAAACTTGGATAAAACCTTCAGTTTTACCAATGTAAGTTTCTTTACTCAGTGACTTGGAGCACGGCTCTTTAAGAAGCTAAACTTTTTGGTTAACTGTGTAGCAAAAGTAATTTAGCTGACTAAAATACAAATAATTGCTTCCTGAATGCAACTTAAAAAATAAATACCATATTTCTGTCACGTGGAAGAGGAAGCAAGTGCCATATTTACAAAAAGCTCAGATTTCCAGCTTTCACCCTTACAAACACTGAAACTTCATCTCAAGCTTGATTTTCTCCTGAAAAAATATAATGCCTTCTTGAAAAATGCAGGTCTGGCCACTTAACATAATTCTCACTTTCAAGAGATGCATTAATTAATGAAAAAACACATTAAGGACTATAAACTTCACTTAGCATCACATGAAAAAGGCTACATAAAGAAGAACTGCAGCAACTTACCATTCATTTAGCCCACAAGATTACTCTATTTGTGCAGAATTATTCTAGTACTCTAATATTGAAAAGGGAAACAAACAGCTTTCAATAAGTTTTTCACATTGTGCTACACAAACAAGTGTTAAGGTTTGTGCATACAGATGAGTAAAACTAGTACAATTTATTAGTATCCTCAGAAGAGACACTTAAAAAATGTAACAGAAGGGATACTTTTGTAAGACTTAAGCTATCCACAAATACTCCAGTTGTGACGATGCTAATAAAACCAAAGATTAGAAGTGGATCATTTAGAATAAAACAGCTCCTTTCAAGATAAGCATTAAGATACACTATAACAAGTTCTATTATAATTGGTGAAGTGACATCAGTATGATGGGGTTTTTTCCCTTTTCTTTAGGTACAGCTGCTCGTTAACACAAGATACGTAATATTGCTGAAAGGCAAAACCAATAGACTTTGTTATCAACTTCAGCCAGGACTGAACACCACAGCTCTAAAAGTGTCCTCTGCTGGCCAGTGCACTCAAGTGCAGTACTAGTTACCTACATTGTTCTCCAACAGCCAAAAAAGCTGGAAGATGCTTTCTATAGCATGGATATAAAATTCAGAAAGGAACAGAACCGCTCATCAAAATAAAGGCCAAGCAGAAACATGCTAAGTTAACTGACAAGTGCCATTTCTCCTAGTTACCAGACTTTTCTCTCACAAGGCAAAAGCTGCAAAGTTTTGATACAGGGTTTAGTTCTTGACAAAGGAAATAAGTCAGTTTTGCAGTCTGCATTGCATTAAAAGAATTTCTTCACGGCATTCACATATATCATAATCCAACTATCTCCAAGTCCAATATAAAAAATGTAATACATTCAGCTGCCTTGTTCAGATTTAGTTTGGAAAATGCTAAGAAAATATTTAAGTTGAACTACTATTGTAACAATGTAAGTGATAGAGGAATACTACCATGGCAGGATATTGTCATCTCCACTGATGTCATTTGGACTATTTATATACCCAAATTTTTTAAGCATACTTATTCATTGACAGTGTCAGGACCAAAATTTACAGGCACTTGACAACAAAATGGGGTGGGGAAAGAAGATAGGAGTTAAAGCTATTCCACTGTCTCCATTTATTCATCTAGAACAAAACAATTCAGCAATACTGAATACAAATCTTTGCTATACTCTTATTACAGAATCAGAGCACATTTGTGCTCTGCACTAGGATTTAAACTTCAAGGACATCCAGTCTATATCTATATGGCTCAAGATCAAATATGAAAATCTGTTTTGATAATAAAAGCGAACGGAAGAAAACACCTTGAATACAGTTTTAATTACAACAACATTTAACCAATTAATTTATGTTCCAATATTAAAGTTATGTCCACGGGCAGCTAAGAACCCAGTAATATAAAGTGCAACATAATTCAAGGTAAAAATAAAGCTACAGTTGCCCTTACCGCTCAGGTGACTCTTCAAAAATGCTGTGACACTCAGTGTTCTCAAGCATGAGACTTCGGCTGAGATTTTGTACTCCTGGGTAATGGAAATTAGCAAAGGAGTGTGACATTGGAGAAGTTTTGGTCCCAAGGTCTGTGACTCGCTTGTCATGGTTTGTTAATCCACATGACAGCCCATCCAAGGCAGGGTTTAAGGAGCGGGTCATGTAAGCATCTGCTGACTGAGGCCGTCTCATTGGGGACGATGGGTAAGGAGACAGTTTGCTGATCAGAGGTGTCAAAAGATCAGCATATGCAGCTTTTGTAGGCTTGAGGAGTTTATCAACATGAATATTAAGCATCTTCTGCTCAAAAGCACAAGAAAAAACAGTGGCTGGCAGATTCTGCAGCCAGGACAATAAGCTAAGGTCCAAGTCATCACATCCATTACCACACAAGAGATCAATGCCCAGCAACACTTCACTTTCTGTGATTTCTTCTCCCGTTGCTTTACTCTGACAGAATTCCACACAACACTCATAAAGCAGTCCCTTCATTACAAGCTGAAATAAACGATTGTTACTTGCTTTGAAGCCAGCCTCTCTCTGCTTCCTATCAGCAGTAATAAACTCTGCCACCATGACACAGGCCTCTTCAAAGCAGTGAACCCGTGCAGTGCTGGGATTCCAGTCCTTGAATTCTGCGTGGTTGGTCAAGCGAGGCAGCGTCAGCAGCAAGCAGAGTTTACTGTAGTCTTCCTTAGAGGGACAATATTCTTCCAAGGCATGTAGGCACTGTACAGCCTCTCGCATTGTGAACTCCAGCTACAGAAATATTAAAAGTAACAGAGTAGTTTGTAGCACATATTTGTTTCTACAGTAAAACAGTTAATTGAAGAACAGGCAGTAGCAGAATTTGTCTATCATTTCTTCATTACTATTACTGTTTATATTTTAATTAAAATAGCATACAATATGGCAGCTGAAATTGCTGATGCAAATGTAGTTACAACAGAACCAAATTCCTGGATGCTTTGACTTCCCAAAATCCCCCATCCATTTTCTAAAGAGCCATGGAATTTTTTCATGCCATTGCAGGTTTGATAGGCTTAACATTTAAAATCTGTAGCTAAGCAGTTTCAATTCTATTGTAGCACAGAAGGTTACTTCCATTTACAAAGCCAACTGACTGACTCTCCCCTTTTTTTTTCTATGAAAAGTTATTGGTATAAGTTATAAAAGACTTGTAGATTTTTGTAATTTCCAGCGATCAGCAACTTTTTGGCTTTTACATTGAAATTTTCTGATCTTCAATCAAAAACGTTAAAAAAGTTCCAGAAGTTTTCAGAAGACCTCCAAATGAAGAGAGGACTTCAGTACAAAGCTTGTTGACAGCTATAAGCCAAGAACAACATTAAATACATCTAAGTAAAAACACCAATTTACAAAGATTAAAAAAATTATAAAATCCCCACTTAACCACGCTACCTAGCACTTGCTCAGTACAGTAGCCTTTCACCCACAACATGCCAACACATTCAGTAACATTCAAAGCAAAAAATAAAGGACGTCAATCCGATTTTGTTTCTCTATTGTTATTAATCACCAAATAAACAACTGTCCTTTCTCTCTAAAAGCAACATAAATTATGTTAAAATTAATTCAATTTGGAATCTTTCACCTGTTCCTAATTAGGACAATACATTTCTGTGCCCCCAAAGCTTGCTTCAGAACACTTCTAAAAAAAGAGCCATGTACTTCAGTATAATGGCCTAAAAGAAATCTCAGGATCAGGACCACAAACATAACACAGTGATCTATGCTGCTGAGTTTCAAGCAACCCTTGTGTATACACTTCTTGAGACCTGGGAACCACATTACTTTCCAAAGGATACCAGTTATTTTTTCCATTGTTTATGAAACCATTTGGCAACAGCTAAAATTTGTGTATTCAGTGCTGGGAGCTTGTGCTCTGCCTTTAATCAGAATATCTCAAGAGGCTTCTTAACAACAAAAAAATTCCCAAACCAAAGACAATCCTTACATGCTGAGGCTCATCTTCCGCTGACATGGCATTGTTTACACATAAGGCTTCCAAGAACTTCTGCTTCATTATAATGTACCGAAACCTGCAGGTGAGAAGTGAAATACTCTACATCTTGATCGAGTGGTGAAACATTCTTTTCCAGACAAGCAGAGTATTTTACAGCAAATATTTGAGTTAGGCATATAAATTGCAGTATCAAGGAACTCTAATCTCAAATTTTAACAAATTGGTAATCACAAAATAATATTTCAATGACAGGAAGACAGGAAATGTCTTTTTCAATTACTGCTTTCAGAAATAGTACATTAAAAATCCTGGAAGGCTAATGAGAAACAAAGCGTAACAACAATACTCATTTATTGAATAGAAGTATGACAGAGCAGCCAACTATAAAAAGACAGGTCAATATGCACCATTCCTAAAGCATATGGCAAATGAAAACTCATTACATATAGTATGTACATATTTTTCACAGTTTAAGTTAAAAACCAAATGCAGACACTTCAGGAACTTTAGGTTAGAAAAAAACAAAAACAAAGGCAAAAACCTCAGAACTAGGTTTTTCATACACAATATTTGGACTTGAATGTATTTTTCACAACTCAAAAAACTGAAATCTGACATACATTCTAGTTTACCTTTTCTTGTCGAATTTTTCCATACATTCAAGAGGCTGAATAAATTGAAGAACTTCATCCCACTGACCATCAAGAATCAATTGCCTAGTAAAAAAGTCACTTTAATTTCACTGGACAAGAACATTCTTCCTCATTCTAAATAAGCAGCTCATTTAAATACACAACAGGTGATCAACCCCATTCGAAAAGGGAACGCTTTGCACAGATGACAAGATAACTGATATCACTTGTAATAAGAGCAAAATCCAAGTTCTTTCTCATTATTTTGTAGAACTAACTGCATACTGGAAAGACAAATATTACTTTTGAAGGTACATAAAAACAGAAAAAATGATCCTGTATATCCTGCTTTAATTGTAATTTTTTAAAAATTATTTTACTTCAAGAGTATTAATAAATATATTGATTCTATGAGTACATCCTGAAGAATTAAAGCAAACTTAATTCTATTTGCGTAAATACTGCTGAGCCTATTTTATAAAGACAGTGGGAAAACACACAGCTCCAATATTAGAACAGTAAGAGAAACAGCTTGGCAGGAATTACATATGCCAGGCACAAGAGCTCCAAGACCATTGGGCTAGACTGCATGGATAGATCAGTTCGATTTCTTCTTATCTTCATATCACACAGAGCTCTACAAGAAAGGGGCAAGTTTCTCATTAGATGTATACTCCACTAAGCTAAGAATTAAACAAACAAATATGATTAATAACCTCAATCTTTATTTATTTCATTTCACTTTCTTTCAACACTCCTAGTTTTAATCAAAAGGGAAGCCAAGTGAAAAATCTTGTTCAGTGATATAATGTATTTTTTTTATTATGTTTTAAGAACAGCTGGATAAAGTATTTTCTCATGCTTCTACAAAGTTATTATCTTTGGCATGAAATACAGAACAGCAATGCTAATAAACTAGTTTACATCTACAGTGATTTTTAATAATATTGAGGTCAATAATCTGAATGGTAAATCACACCAACTCTCATGCCTTGATGATAGCAGAAACCCTTTTCATATTGTTCAACTTAAGAGAAACATAGGTGTTACTCTGAAATGCAGATAATATTTTGGGAAGAAGGTTTGAAAACCACTCTACTCATCCTAGATCTTATTGCTAGAATATTGACAAATTAATTTATTTCACAAATCAATAAACTACATATTCAGTTCCACATGACATGGTAAGCAGGTAGCAACAGATCACCGATGCAAACAGACCTTGTTATCCCATCCTAGTCCTGCTTGTGTGCTTTCCCTGGCTTACCTTGAACTGACACTGGCATTTGTTAAGACTCCTTTCCACTTAAATTGTTAGCATGCCAGAAAAATAAGCTAGTTAAAATGAATGAACAAACAAACAGAAAATCTAACTCATGTGGATGATGCCTAGTCAGTTACTTCAAGTGGCTCATAAAAGGATGTAATTAACTTCAGAGCTGGAATACGACGCAGAGCTGGACCACAGAATTTGGATCAGGAAGTAGAATAAGGTAAGAGCAGAAGACCTCCTGTTTAGTGGCATGGGGGTGCTCACTGAATGACAGTCCAACTATGCATTCTTACATCTGTGGTATTTACGTACCAGAGGCAAATAAGTCCTACCTTAGAAAAAGCATGTCATCTGAAAACAAGCCATTAATGACCCCACTTTCTTTCTCTAGTGCCAGCATACTGATATGGAGTTTCCTTGAATTCAGAAAATCTAGTATTAGTTTAATTATTTCTGCTTCTTTCACATTCACTGTTTCTTCAGCCGTCATGATGGCAGCCTAAAAGGGAAGAGAGAATTTTAGCTATGATCAACATCTGATTTTATGTTTGGTTAACAAACATGGGCTCAAAAAACCCCCAAAACAAACACATTTATAGCATGTACTTCATTTAGGAAACCTAAAAAAACCTGCTTCTGGTTGAGTCTTGCGTGTTTCCTTAAGGTTGACTTAAAGTAGATGTTCAACTTTTTTTTTTTTTTTTAATAACAACTTAAAAGGCATTTAATGTCTAATCTCATGATGTATACTTCCTTTCTTCCCCATCCCCTATCTTAACTGAAGGTGAAGGGACCAGGAGTTGGAGTGATTGGGACTGGGAAAGGGGCAGAATTAGCGCTCTCCATGATCACCTTCCTGCCAGAAGTGGTGGCTGCTGTCTGTATCTCTGCCTGTAGCTCAAACACAGTTGCAGATCTCCATTATGGTGAGATGACTCTGCCTGGGCTGCGTTTTGATATGAATAAGGTCAGTGTTTCTGATGCTGGTGTATTTGATGTTTTTGACGCTCTGGAGGACCCAGCGAATCCTGCCAACTCTCCTTCTGCAATCCCCATTGAGAAGGCGGAAGGTCACTTTCTCTTAGTGGTAGGGGAAAATGATCGCATGTGGAAGAGCTCCTCATATGCTGAGCTTGCAATCAGTCGTCTACGCCAGCATGGGAAAGAAAACTTTGAACTCTTGAGTTATCCAGGAGCAGGTCACCGAATTGATCCTCCTTGTACTCCATTTTCTAAGGTAGCTTTGGATCGTGTTCTGGGGGTGCCTGTTCTGGGGGGTGGAGAGAGCAAAGCACATGCCCATGCACAGGAACACTCCTGGAGAAAGATTCAGGAGTTTCTGCACTTGCAAATAACAACTTAAAAAGATTCTACAGCTGTAGCTCCCGAGCTGACCTGCTGAAAACTACCTGGAGGTGCGGGGAGAAACCCTGTAGCACAGCCAAGCCAGGTATCACTGTCTCATCAGGAGCTGTTCAGAAAGTTCTAGAGCCTGTGAGACTGAGATTTCACATCAGGAAAAATTCCATTAAAGCTTTGTTAAAGCAGAAAGGGACAGTGCCTCTTCTCACCTCTGCACTCAGCCACACGTCCCCAGCCACCACTCCATGGCAGCCACAATGGAGATGAACAGTCAGCTAGACTGCTTCTCTGATCCAGGCCTCAGTTAAGCGCTTATTTATCCAGACACAAGGGAACTAATGCTGACACAAAGAACCGACAGATCTTTGCTTTCTGGCAGTTAAGAAAGTCTTAACCTAATAATTATGTGCATGCACAAACTCAGTCTTGGAAAATTGAAGTCCATAAACTAGTTATCTGTCTCATATTAAGAAAGACACACAAAAACTGTTAATAAGAAATCAAAGAACAAACCTAGTAAGTTTGAATAATCAAAATAAGACAAAGTATTAACAAGAAATTAATTACTGGAGAAGGGAAGAGACAAACACTCCAGTGAAACTTCTCACTGATCATCATAAACTAATGCTAATGAACTTGAAGGGATGCAAAAAAATAGGCATTGATAATAGTTTTTTGTGTTACAGCATCTAAATCCCCAAGCTTTCATCTTCCCTGCAGTTCTATGCCAACTTTTTCTGAGGGAGTTTTTGCAAGAACACTTGATTAGAAAACCATTCAATTATAGCAGCACAGTTTACTTTGGAACAACAGGGACCTAATTGTACCAGATGAAACGGTCTAACTTCTTCTTTAAAATTAGGTTTAATTCTTATTTCAGTCACAGAAGACTCCCATCATTCACTATTTTTATGGGTCTCATGGAAGACACACCCAGAAACCACATGTCCACTCTTAGCTAGTGAAGCTGAAGGAGAAAAATAATAAATCTGGCTTGCAGAAAGCTTTGCTGCAGGGAAGCAAGCAGACAGACACAAAAATTCAAAGCCAGAACTTGCAGAAAGTTGCCTTTTCCTTAAGTTTTAGAACTATTTCAACTTCCCTTTTGGCAACCGGATAAGGATTTTTGGTCCCAGAGAATACTTAAACCCTACCCTTTTAAACAGAAGGAAACAGTCAAGAGAAATTTAACCAGAAGTTTAGTACTAACATCTTTATTCCCAAACTCACCTAATGCACTGGCATTTCTCTTTTATAATGTTTTATGGTATTGGTGGTTTTTATATAAATTAAATGAACTTCCTTGTCAAAAGACAAAGTAAAGCTTAGGCAAAGCTATACTAAGACTCCCCATCAGAAAACTACTAGAAAAATTCAGACTAAGACTCCCTTTGAAGAAAGGAACACCAAAGTCCAGCTTTCTTTCCAGCTGTATCTAGTGGTCTCAAGACTAAACAGGAAGCCACCTTACATAGCTTGCAAGATTGTGAGACAATAATTTATTTATATATTCTATTGATGGAATAATAAGCACAATAGCACAACTACATTAAGTAAAATCTAGCATCTGCAAGGATTCGTCTTCCATTTTCCATTGTAGGTTTAAAAGAACAGGTTTGACCTGAACATAAAGCCTCTGCCAATTCTAGCACTTCACTTACTTCACTTACACTGCTCATATAAATTAGGATAAAGGAGGATCGGCACCCTCTGTATTTAATTTGGGACTAGTAACAGCACTTTTGGGGCCCTGTTAAGAAAAATATAATTTCCAAACATAGTTTGGATACTGAATATCTTAAGAACAGTCAAAGCACACTCATAAGCTTATACATTAACATTATTATGAAAATATTTATTGTGCATTTGCTCTCAGATCAACACAAATAGCTAGAAAAGCTTAAACCTACTAGAGAAGATTTTCACTTAATTTTTTTTTTTTAGGTTGATGACCTCAGATTACTCTTATAAGCATTATGCTGCTAAAACAATAAGCAGCACTCTAACCGTACTGTGAAATTATAAATATACACAGGGTTACACATCACCCCTACAAAATGTATTAATTTTTCTAACATTCGGTATGCATACGTGTATGCATACAAATACACCAAATCATAATTAAAAAGCAAAGAACAGCAGGGAAACTCAAGATTAGAGCTCAAACTGCATCTTTGGTCCATCCCACTTCATTGCTGTCTGCCAGCACATATGGCATACAACGTCACAATCTCATAATCTAAAACACTAATACTCAAGAATGATTGAAGCACAGCACTAGCTTGAGGTACAAACGACAGTAAATCAGTATGAGAGCTTAACATTTCAGCTGCCTTGTACAAAACAGATTTTTGTTACAACCTTTATGTCTTACCCAGCTTTTTCAGAACACCATATTTCCACTCCTGCTCCCCTTCCTTCTTTCTGCTGTCCACTCCCCTTTACTACCTTCCCCTAGCTCTGAATTTAAACTTGTTTTCCTCCTAATCAAACTACATCAAGGAAAAAACTCCCACAACTTCTTGTCACAAACCTTACCTATCTTTTCTCCATAGCTTCAACGGACAAGATGCCGTTTTAAAAAGTTCTTTTGAACACAGACTATCTACTCCTGAATTTTCCAGAGAGGCTTCATTTTTGTTCTGCTCTCACTCATGTTATAAAAACATGTCAACAGTAAAAATTCTCCCATGGTGTTATAAGCTTAGAAAACAATAATTTCAAATATATATATACACATTTATGTATATAAATATATTATTTCAGGAAAACATTTGTAAACTACAAGTGTATCAAAATAGTGTCTAGGTAGTCTCTCTTCCTAAGTCACCTCCCTGAGAAGAAATGTAAAATGCTTATATATAATAGAAAGTTAAAATAAGATTTAATGTTCTAGAAAACAAGCAAGTAGTGAAATTCTAAAACAAGCATTATTCCTATGCAACTTATCATGTCAAATACATCACTTGCCAATAGTATAAAATTTGGTTTCACAAAAGCAGACAAAGCATAAAAAAACCCCATGTAACTACTCAGAAATATTAGAAAGAAGTGTTATAGTTCAACTCTTAAGTGCCCTCCTGAGAGATGATACATTTAAAGGGAGAAGCGATGCCTAATGAGAAGGCCTGGCTCCCTGACTTCAGTGACAGCTGCAATGCATACCCATAACGCCTGCATCTTGGGGAGCTATGTTGCCACAGAAAAACCAAATGTGAAGTAACATCTTTAGAAAGCTGGCTGTTTTGTGTTATTTCACCTTGTAATCCATCCCGCAGTCACCTAACACCGGACTGCTGGGCCTGCCCACAGCCCACTCCAGAGTTCTGCCTACGCAGACCCCACAGGGGGCTCACGGGCCTGTCAGTACCCAGTGTCTCTGTTTCTGATGAGCCCTCTATCATCTTCCAGATATTCTATATCAAAAGAGTTTACCCCCCCCAAAAAAGTCTACAGGCCAATTTTACTACACCTGATTCCCACAGCTGCTGATGCAACTTCCCAACACCCATTTTACCCTATGAGATCACACAATTAATTCCTTCAAATGAACTATACTGAATGTATAAAGGCCTTAACAGAAAACCTTCACCAAACTTCGCACAGTCGCACCCTATAATGGAAACCTTTTTCTACTCCAATACCCAGCAAATAGGTGTTCTCTTACACACCAGTCTTTTCTTCCTCACGGAGATTTTTCACCGACTTGCCCTGCAGTAATCTCTTTCTTACCCTGGTCAGATCAGCTGTTGTTCCAGAGGCACCACAGAAGCCCTGACCTCCCCAGCTCCAGAGGCGGCCGGCAGACCCCGCGCACCCACCGGTCCCCGCACATCCCCACCCAGCGCGTTCTGCACCGCGACTGCCAACAAGGTGACATCAAAACACACAATACTCCCAAAAACAAAAAACCCAAACCGATTACGGACACCAGAAATTATTACATTTCGACTAAGAAAAACCCTTCTTGCTCCTTTTTTGTTTTTTTTTTCCTCCCTTCCTCCCGTGCGATTCCACACGAAACCCACCTCTGATGCGGAAAGGGTTCAAAACAACCACACTCTGTAATTATACAGCACCGAGTCCGCATTAGCAGCTCGGGAACGTCAGTTCAGCACCAGCAGCAGACA